GTCATAATTGGGGAGCTGAGGCTAACGGCAATAGCATAGAATCATGAATGAGGCGCTCAGCTTTAATTCTCTCCCTTCAATGCAATGAATGGCCATAATGTTTCCACCCGTTGGAGTTCTGCCAGTTGGAATTCCACACGATGTCGGGTTAAATATGGTGTCGGGTCAGGTGCTGCATATGATCCGGGTCGGGTGCCAGCAGCATTATCCTATCACCAGTCCCCCCTACTCCTGAGTCTACGAATGTGTTTGAGTTGACTTGGGAGTAAGGCTGAATTTGCTTGATATCGTGCAGAATCCCGGTTGATCCCGAGTATGTGATTTTATTTTCCAAATCACACATGAATTTTTTTTTTTTAATGCTGGCCGAGAAGGGATGCTGCTTAGGCTTGCATGCTGAGGCGCCGCCCCAGCCAGTGGCCGAGACGCGGGCCTCGGCCTGGCCGAGGCGTGCGCCTCAAGCCCTAGGCCAAGGTGCTGCGCCTCTACCAATGGCCGAGACGCGTGCCTCGGCCTGGCCGATTCGTGCGCCTGGCGGCATTTTTTTTTTTTTTGGATCGAGGCGCCGCGCCTCGGCTTGTGGCCGAGGCGTGCGCCTCGGCTTGTGGCCGAGGCGTGCGCCTCGGCCTTGGCTGAGGCGCGGCCTCAGCTATCTGGCCGGGGCGTCGCCTCGACCAGGAGGCCGAGGCGCACGGACTGAGGCGCGGCCTCAGCCATCTGGCCGGGGCGTCGCCTCGACCAGAAGGCCGAGACGTGCGCCTCGGCCTGTGACTGAGGTGCGACTTTTTTTCTTTTTTTCTTTTTTTTTTTTTTTTTTTCCGGCCGAGGCGCATGCCTCGGCCACCCGAGTTTTGTCTCGGCCAACCCGTGGCCGAGGACTCGGTTCTCTATTTTCTATTTTATTTTATCTTTTTTTTTTTTTTATTTTTTAATTTTTTTTATTTACAATGCGGCGTCGGCCGGCTTTTGGTTGATCGAAGGTGGTGTTGAGAACCTTTTATTTGAGCAAAGTAACCTGGGCAGACCATGATTACAAAATATTGTTTACAGGTCTGGGCGGACCACGACTACAAAGTATTACTTATAATATCTAATTAAATGTTCTGAGTTCCATGCCCGATCGATCATCCTTGCAGATAGTGTGGACTTGTAGGTCCTTTCCGCCAATCTTTTTGCATGCTTTTAAGTAACGAACTGCGTGTTGCTCGCTGGTTTCCTCTGACGACTCCTATCCCATTCGGTGTAGGGAACTTCATACACAAGTGTTCCACCGACACTATGGCTTTGAGGTCCTCCAGTGCCGGTCTCCACAAAATGATGTTGTACACACAAGTGAGTCTTACCACGATGAATTCCACGTCAATTTTGCGAATGTTAGGGCTCGTGCCTATCTGCACTGGTAAGACCACTAACCCCTCCGTCTCCACTGAATCACCCGTAAATCCAGAGAGTGGGGTACGTACTTCTTTGAGCTGGTTCCTAGGTATCCCTAACTTGGTGAAGGCATCGTAATACATCACATTGACTGAGCTTCCTGTGTCGATTAAGATGCGGTGGACCATGACATCGTTGACGTCCATCTTAATCACCAGGGCGTCACGATGGGGTAACGGGCCCTCTGGGAGGTCATCATCAGAGAAAGTGATGGCCTCCTGTCTCTGTTTCTTTTCTCTAGGAAGACTCACCACTTCTCCCACGTATAACTGCCGGCTCCACTTCTTTCTTTCCGCGGGCGTGTCGCCCCCTGCGGGTCCACCATAAATAAAGTGTATGGTGTGCTTCTTTTGTCGTCTGGGCGCCACCTCGGTTTCTTTCTCGCTATCATTCTGCTCAGATATTTGGTCGTGGTCTCTTTTTTTGGCATTCGAGGTGGACGGCTCGGTGCCATCCTCATTCCTCCAGACATTTTTTGATGGATTGTGTTGCGGTTGTTGCTGCTGCTTGGATCGCTTGACGAAATGTCGGAAGTAGCCATGTTGGATGAGTTCTTCTATTTGTCTCTTCAAAACGTGACACTCATCCGTATCGTGACCGGCTTGCCTATGAAACCTGCAGTACTTTGTTTGGTCTGCCTTTGGGGAGACCTTCATGCACTCCTCGGGGAATTCTACCATTCCCATCTCCTCAGCTTGCTTTAGAATGATACTGACGGGATGGATAAGAGGAGTTAGATTACGCAAGGGGACCAGGCGAGGTCGTTCGTGGTCTCGGCCTTTCCCTGCGGTCGGGTGGTTCGAGAGTGGTGCCTGGCTGGGCGGACCCACTTTCCCAGGCTTCCCACCTTTCCTTCCATCCTCTTCGTCCTTCTTCTTCCTGTCGACGTCCTCTGCTTCGGCATAGCGGCTAGCCGTCCTTATCAGATCTTCGTAAGAGCGAGGGTGGTGGGCGTTCAACTGCTTGTGGAAATACCCTGATCTTAAGGCATGGATAAATATCGGGATCGCCGCCTTGGAGTCGAAGTCGTAGACATTATTGACTTCCTTTTTCCATTTTATCAGGAAGTCTTTGAGGCTCTCGCCTCTATCTTGCTTCACTACACAGAGGTGAGAGAAGGGTTTCTTACGCTGTATGCTACCGGAGAAGTATGTTAGGAAGCTCTTGGACAACTCCCCAAAGTTTTGGATCGAGCCATCAGGGATGGTGTTGAACCAGTCTTGGGACGCTCCATCCAGGGTGGACAAGAACGCTCGGCACATGATGGCGTCCCCTGCCCCGATCATTACCATAGCAGCCTTGTACCTCGTCATGTGGACGCGTGGGTCAGTGACCCCCGTGTACTCCTTGATGGCGGGCAACCTAAAATCCCTCGGCAAAGGTACGTCCATGATGCTTGGGGAGAATGGTGCTGTCATCCGTACCTCGGCGACTGCTCCCTTGCCTCCACCCTTCTTGCTAACTCCTCGATTTTTCTCTACAGCCTCTCGACCAAGGCCGAGTTATCAGGATGCCGGCGCGGGGCCGGCTGCCGCTCCTCCAAGTGTCGGTGTGGAACCCGCTCATCAACGCGTCGCTTCCCCGCTGAGTGCCGTCGCAGAGCTGGCTCTTCGACGCGTCGCTCCTCCAAGTGTCGACGTAAGGCCGACTCATCAACGTGTTGGCGTGGGGTCGGCTCCCGAGACTCGCCCACCTCCTCTGTGGGTGATCTCTCGGCTTCTCTGTTTTCGTGTTAGCGAGGACCTCTGGTAGATGATCCCTCGGCCCGTGATCCTAATCTTTGCTGCACGGGCGCCCTTTGTCCCAATCGTTCTGGTGCAGATTGGGAAGGGCCTGGTTGTCGTCTGGCCAGTCCACTTCTTTGGGTCTCCATCCTTATTTCCTGGGGCCGCGGCGGGGGCACTTGGCCTTGTGGTCCCACCGCCACTTGGTTTTGTGCCGCCGCCACCGCTTGCTAGATGGTCGCTTGGAGGTTCACGACTTGGTTCGCCCCTCCATTGTGGAGCTGGTCTCGGAGGTCCCCTCCATTGTTGAGTTGGTCTCGAAGGTTTCCTCCATTGTTGAGTTGGTCTCAAAAGTCCCCGGGCCTCCCGTTGTTGAGCTGTTCTCGGAGGTCCCCTCCGCGATTGTTGGTGAGTTGGTCCCGGAGGTCACCTGAGGCATTGCCATTGTTCACGTTGCGGGAACCGTGGGAGCTGCGGGACACCATTCTTTCAAGCTTGCTGTTGAAAGAGGAATGAGTTATGTGTGTCGTAGCCTGCTTGAGTATTGGACTCAGGCTCTCAATGAAAGCACCAATGACGGTAATAATGTTACCGGTAATAATAATACTATAATAACGTTATAAGAAAGTAACAATAGTTGTATTGCTTTGTCTTAGTATAGAGAGTACAGCATGTCCTCCCCCTTGCTAGCTGAGGGGAGTTCTATTTATGCTAAGTCCTAACGGTAACAACATGAAGAGTCATAATTGGGGAGCTGAGGCTAACGGCAATAGCATGAAGAATCATGAATGAGGCGCTCAGCTTTAATTCTCTCCCTTCAATGCAATGAATGGCCATAATGTTTCCACCCGTTGGTGTTCTGCCCGTTGGAGTTCTGCCAGTTAGAATTCCACACATGTCGGGTTAAATATGGTGTCGGGTCAAGTGCTTCTTATGATCCGGGTCGGGTGCCAGCACCATTATCCTGTCAATACAGTTTCACAGTAAATATATACTTACGGATGCAGGTGTATATTATCAAAAATATATAATCATATGATCAAGTTTTCATAAATTTCACAAATGCATAAAGCATAAACACATATGATTTTAAGGCATCTGGAAAAAAATAAGGCATAAAAAACTCATAAAAATTACCGTTCACCAGGATTGAGCGTGCTGATAACGTGTTGTATTGCAAGTTTGTTTGCAGGCTTTTAGCTCGTGAAGAACAGTAGTAAAAAACCGTAAGAACAAGAAAAAGAGTAGAGCCAAAATAGAGGGTTTTTTATTCCTTTCAAAAAACCAACTGATCAGTACATTAGAAGGACATATATATAATAACAATTGTAACGAAATACAATAATGGAGACATAAAGGAAACCGTTACACAATAATGTTCACAATCATTACTATTTATAACAGTTTATATATTTTTTTTAATTTTTTTTAATAATTGAATTGGTAACTTGTTAACAACCTACAAAAAAAAAATGAATTGAACAAATTTAACAGGTAAGTGTAATTAATTAACCTGTAATTTATTTTCAAAAAAAAAAATTAACCTGTAATTTAATTCGTGGTGAAAATTGAACACTTGGTAATAATAAATGGGCCTATTTGACACTTCTCAAGATTTTTTTTAATAACTAATCCAAACGTCACATCTTAAACTAGTACAATAATAACTTCCACCCACTTATCTCTTTCAGGGCGGCTTCATCATTCTTTTACCATTCAAAGCCTTGACGCGCAGTGTATGTTGTAAATTTCAATATACAATTCAAAATTGGAAACTAGTAGAAGGTAGAAAAGTCTTCTAACCAGATATTATAAATTTATAATAAGCTCCAAAAATAAGATGGAATTAATCTAAGAAAAGATGATGGAAGCAACATTGGCATACATATTTCTGTGTGTTATTTTCCTCTTCATAGCTTTGAAACGCTTCTCAGGAACAGGAAGAAGATATCACAACCTTCCGCCAACTCCCTTCCCCAAGCTCCCCATCATAGGCCATCTCCGCCTCCTCAAGCCGCCACTCCACCGGAGTCTTCACAAAATCTCGCTTAAATATGGCCCCATTTTCACAGTCCAGTTCGGCGTCCGCCGTGTCGTGGTGGTGTCATCGCCGTCGGCCGTGGAGGAGTGCTTCACCAAGAACGACATCGTTCTAGCCAACCGCCCTCGCACCATGGCCGGTAAGTACCTCGGCTACAATTACACCAACTTATCCGGTTCCCCCTACGGCGATCACTGGCGCAACCTCCGCCGCATTTGCGCGCTGGAGATCTTCTCCACCAGCCGTCTCAACTCCTTCAAATCCATCCGGCAAGACGAAGTCAAGATTCTGCTGCAGAAATTGGTTCAAACTTCGCGACATGAGGGGCTCGGGACCGTCGAGCTGAAATCTAGGTTTTCCGAGCTGTCCTTCAACATAATAATGAGGATGACTGGTGGAAAACGGTATTTCGGTGTTGAGGAAGACAACAAGGAGGCTATGGAGTTCAGGGCGCTTATAAAAGAGGCGTTTTTGTACGGAGGAACATCCAATCTCTTGGATTTTCTGCCATTTTTAGGGTGGATAAATTACAAGAATCTGGAGAAGAACTTGAAGAAGCTCAGTGAACGGATGGATTCATTCTTGCAAGGGCTAATTGATGAGCACCGCCGTGACAAGAGCAGGAATACCATGATTGATCATTTGCTCTCACTGCAAGAATCCCAACCAGAATACTACACAGATCAAATCATCAAAGGGCTTATGATGGTAAGAACACATGCCAATCTATTTGATAATATAATCACACTATAATTTTCTTTTCATCTGGTTTACTAAATAAAGTGAGTGTAATAAATGAAACGCAGGTGATGTTGCTAGCTGGAACGGACACCTCTGCAGTGACAATAGAGTGGGCAATGTCCATTTTGCTTAACCATCCAAAGGTGTTAGACAAGGCCAGAGCTGAGATCGACAATCTTGTAGGACAAGAACGTGCCATTGAAGAAGAAGATCTGCCAAAGCTCAAATACCTGCAGAATATTATTTTAGAGACATTACGATTGTTTCCAGCTGCGCCATTACTAGTACCCCACTACTCATCTGATGACTGCAAGATCGGGGGATATGACATTCCGCGCGGCACAATGGTGTTGGTGAATGCATGGGCCATTCACAGGGACCCCAAGGTGTGGGAAGACCCCACAAGCTTCAGGCCTGAGAGGTTTGATGGTGCAGAGGTTGAGTCAACCAAGGTGCTGCCTTTTGGAATGGGGAGGAGATCATGTCCGGGTTCCGGACTTGCTCAGAGAGTTGTGGGGTTGGCTTTGGGATCATTGATACAGTGTTTTGAGTGGCAGAGAGTTGGGGAAGAAGAAGTTGATTTGGCTGAAGGGAAAGGAGTCACTGCACCTAAAGCAGAGCCGCTTGTGGCTAGGTGCAAAGCCCGCGATTTTGCTCACAAAATTCTGTCACAGAACGCCTAGAAAAGATTTCTATGGCACCAAATTGGTGTTTATGGTTAAGTAGAAGATGTTTTGTTTTATATACTTAGTATGTGTTGTGATAAGTGATGAACACGTACTATATATACACTTAGGCATATGTTTAGTATTCATTGTTAGGCACGCATGGCAGCTCAACGTACTGGTTGCAGTGGTAGGGTGAAATTTGTCACAAGTATTATTTATTGTTAGGATATTTTAACTTCTATGCCTTTACTGCTAAATTATATTGATTATTGAATATTCACCGTCCATGAATTTGATAGCCAAATATTTATTTGGAATGTTTTATGCTTTAAATGCTACTCCGCATTTATGATATAGGCAAACAAATTCAATGGTAAAAGTGTGCAACATTGGATTATATCTCACCCAAAATGGCTTCTAGTCATTAATTTGATCGTATATAATTTTTTATTTATTTTTAAATAACATCATAATTTTATTAAATTGTAGATTCAATACAAGAAGGAATAGAATTAAGCCAGACAGAAGGACCAGTAGATGAATGAGCAGCTCTAGCTACAACATGAGCCAGCTTATTCACTGATCTAGAAATATAATGAATGGACACTACTTCAAAGTTCAAAGTGTCGTTTTAGGTCACGGCATTGGCTAAGAACGCAACCCGTACAAGAATAATCCATGGCTGAGCTATTGAAAAGGTGACAAACCATTTGACAATCACTGAAAAGCACGATCTTCTGTAACCCTTGTTCAATCGCCAAAGACAACGCTTCCTTTATAGCCATCGCCTCCGCCAAATGTACGTCATTGAGGCAGCGAACCGGGGCATTCTTCGCAGCAAAATAGTTTCCATGGCTATCCATAATAACCGCCCCAACGCATGCATAATCTTGCTCATAAAACACCGCTGCGTCAACATACACTGCAAATCCGTCAGCTGGAACCAACCGTAGATGATTCAAATTAGGGGGTTGCCTACTTTCACGTGCATGGCTAACATCCAACGCCTGCCACTCGTTCAGAAGCCTCATCACCTCCAAGCACACTGCTGAGTCACTCCAGGCTTTTTGCCTCCAAACTACATTGTTTCTCTCACGCCATATACACCACATAATAGCAGCGCAATGAAGTAGTGAAGCCTTATCAGCATTTACGAGACTTGAGGAGAGCCAGGTGCCAAATCCTTCATTAGCAGCAGGTAGTGTGAAATTCATGAGGTTATTCCACAACACCGCAACATTTATGCACTCGCACATGAGATGCTTCAGAGGCTCTACTTGTTGATGGCATAACGGGCAAGCTGTATCCACATCCACATGTCTACCTTCAAGAGCGCTCAAAGTAGGGATAACTCCATGAAGGCATCGCCATATGAAATTTTGCACGTTGGGAAGAATTTTCAAACGCCATAACGCGGTCCATGCACCACTAATGATCCCAGTAGATAGCTCACCAGTAAGAAGCCTATACCCATGTTTAACTGAGTACATGCCTCTTATATCCCCTCTCCAGCACCAACTGTCTTCAAACTGAAATGCTACTGGTATTCTACGAATAAGATCAGCATCCCTAGGCTCAAACAAATCTTCCAACAAACCAAAATTCTAGTCCTGAGTATCCAAATTTATCAACTCACTAACCTTCATACCACCATTGTTCACAGATCGAGGGGTTTGGATAAAAGGGTCCTCACTACAAGGCAACCAAGGATGCTGCCATATCATATCAGTGTAGATGCTCCGTTACCAATTAAACGATAACATCCTCGTTTCAGAATCTCTTGTCCTGCAATGATAGAACGCCAACAGTAACTAGGATTAACTCCCATCTCGGCTGACAAGAAGTCCGATTGTGGGTAGTATCGGGCTTTGAATAGCCGGGCAGTTAAAGAATCTGGAGAAGTAAGAAGGCGCCATCCTTGTTTTGCTAACAAAGCCAAATTAAAACTGCTCAATTTTTTAAAACCCATGCCTAAAGTTTTGGATTTATGTTGTTATTTGAATAATAGTTTTATAGCTCATTTTAAATTGTTATTATGGTATATAATTTATTTGGATATGAGCATACTGAATTTCACATATAATTTTTCACTAGCATAACATTATATTTTCTAGTTATGTGAATTTAATTATGCCTTTGGAATTGCATAAGTTAGGAATTATAATAATTCCTTGTCAAGGTGAACTTTGTGTGTGGAATTATATACGGTAGTGCATTATGTTTAAGCATCTTAGACCGTCTAAAATGTTCACTTGAGATTAAAAGTCTTTCTATAGGTGAACTATTAAAGATTTGGAAAGATTGCTCGTCAATTATGCCTTTAGTGTGAGAAAACATGAACCGGTGAAAAGTTTCTCGGGAAGGGGCCAATGTGCTACTAGTTCCCTTGAAACATTACTCTGTCTAAGGAGTTGGTTATTTTTAATGAGGCTCTGTCCCAACCAACTTTCCTGGGACTATACTTGGAATTGTTTATCATATTGAGGCATAATTGTTTTTAGGCTTTAAAGTTGATGGATGCCTAAAATATCAAGATGACTGTCTAGTGATCATATAATTTTGATTAATTAAGGAGTAGCCACAACATCTTTAATTAATTGAAATTTTCCGGGATCACATACAATCATAGACATATCAATTGTGATTAATTGTATATGACATAACGAAATTTAGCCCACAGGTAATTTTGTTATGCTTATATGATTAATTAGGGTAAAAACACCAAACTATGATCATAATTTAGCCGCAATTATGCATCGGAATATAGTTTTGGTGAGTTTTATTATTACAGATAGGAATGTCAATTTATTTAACATATGGTTATAATATAAATAAATTGGCGTCTTCTATCATAAAGTTATAATATGTACATATTCAAAAGTATTTTTATGTGTACAGTTTGAGATATTAATCTAATTTCTTTTATGTGTATTTATTATGCATGAAAATTTAAATTAGATTAATAGCTTAGTACATTAACATTCTTTTGTGTACAAATATCAAGTGATAAATACAATTTCATAACTGAAATTATTAAGTTATTTTGATCACTTTGTGACTAATTACATAAAGTATAATAAAATCTACCCACTGGAATTTTATTATATTAATGTAAATAGTCAAGATAGAATATCAAATCATATTTCTTAATTTACCCACAGGGATTAAGAAAATGAACATGGTATGACAGTTTTATCATAAAGTTGTAGATGGATCTAATTGAATAAAACTTTAGCACACAGACAAGTTTATGTCACTAGTTTCTTCTATCCCTTTGATAATAATTTTATCATAAAGTTTTAGTTGAGTCTAATTGAACAAAACTTTAGCCCACAGGCAAGTTTTGTGTCACTAGATTCTTCTATTTGATTATCATAAAGTCTCAGTTGAGTCTAATTGAATAAATCTTTAGCCTACAGGCAAGTTTTATGTTACTGGATTCTTCTGTTTAAATTGATTATCAAGATAAAATTTTATCATACCAATTTTAGAATTTATAACTTTAAGGCCAGTTATAATTCTATGTCACATGGGTTGCATTGGCAACACATGTATTTTATTAAAACTCCATAACTTTAGTAACTTGAAATTGTTAGTGTATGTGACTTACTTGGTTTTTCAGCCCAATCACAATAGAGCTTTTAAATTTGGACATGATATACTCTTGGGTCCTTATGTTAGAATTGTACATATCTAGCCAATTGTGTCTGTTACATGTACATATTTAACATGTCTAACTATGGTGGGGAATTATAATCCTTGTTAAAATAGTTGGACTTGAGGATCATTAGTGTGTATATCATTTATTCTCAAGAATAACTTATTTAGTGGGAGTAATGGTTTGCTCAGTGGGAGTGATCATTTGAAAAGATCTAATAAGATACCCCGTTTGATCAGTGGGAGTGATCATTTGGAAAGATCATTAAAGATGTCTCACTTCAAGATTGCTCCACTTCAAGGATAAGACACATTGCCTTGTTATTATAAAATCAATAGTTCAAATTGTTGAACTACAAGTTGTGCAACATATTTTTGAAAATGTTGTAACAACATTAATAGTTTTTATTATAACAATGACATGAAGTTTATGGTGAACTATCACGAGTTGGATTCTTTAGCATTTATTGGAGTCTTTCGTCTCATCAAATTGATCTTGGGCCATTAAGATTTAAAAAGGCTCAAAAATCAATGTTGAGAGACATAAAGCAAGCAAAGACTCATGATGTTGGTTCATATTGATGAATTTTGATGATTTTTTGTTATGTTGATACAATATTTTTGTTATTTCATAAAGTTACATTAATAAATTCTCGTTATTGCTCTCTGGCATGAAAGTTGGGCTTCCTTTTTTTTTTTTTTTTTTTTGGAGATTATTTATAAGGTGTATGTTTAAAGTTCCGTTTGTGGGCTTAGACTCAAGAATTTGTTATCTAAGTCATTGGAATATAGACTACTCAATTACTGTCGTTTGCTAAGATTAATAAGAGTAGGAGTGACAGACGTGTCGACTCTGAAAACTTAGCTCTCAGCGATAGTATTAAAGATAATGAGTTAGTCATGCAACATATTAGCATTATGCTAATAGTTGTGGATCCCTACTTAAGGCATGCTTATAAAAAGTTTTGGGATCATACGGGGTACATGGAACTTATTATGTGACTATATTGTACGTACATTTATGTTGTCACTTTTATGTAATTTGGATGGTTTCACCTAAAGTTATGCGCATATTTATTTGAGAAACATCCATAAGGTTGGACCAAGAATAAACGTAGGGTTTATTCATAAAGGACCTGAGTTGGGAATCAAAATGCATGTGATGCATAGATGGTATTACTCACACTTTAATTTAGAGGACATACCACTATGATTCATGTTTTTTGATCTTCAACAAAGGTTGTGCCAATACTTGCACCAAGTGAAAAATTGTAACATTTTTCATTAATATTGTACAAATGAAGTTGTGCAAGTTTATTAGGCCAAATTTAGCCATTGCGACAATAATTAGTTTTTGATAACTAATTATAATCAAGAATGAACATAAGGTTTATTCATTAAGTTTTATACCACATAAGGTACTTAGAGAAGAAGTTACATTGTAATCATATGTGGATACTACTCTAAATTAAGAGGAACTATCTCTATGGTTCATATTTTTTGCTTCTTTGAATTAATACTTGCACCAAGTGGGAGAATATAACATTTTCCATTATGTCATCATTAAGTGGTGCAAGTTAATAGGCCATTTATGGCCATTATGTTGTGG